CTACAAAATCATCTTTAAGAAAGTATCTTGAAAGTATTTCAGTATTCCTAAAAAATGCAACTTCTGATAAAATCAAACAAATAAGTCCAACAAGAAAACTGAACCTTTTCCACATAGAAAATTCCTGCCCACAGTGGAAAAAGAAAAGACTAACTCATGGCCACTCAGAAAGCAGATTCCTAGCCAGATTCCTTGGCATGGTAGAACATGACCCTAATCTTGGCACTCAGGAGGCTGAGGCAGGAGCGTAGGGGGATAGCCTAAACAGAAACAGTAATGAAAAAGAAGCAGATTTGTGATTGGGACATGCGGTTCAGTAGTAGAGCACTATCCTAGCAAGCATGAGGCCCTGGGTTTGACTGTCAGCACTGCAAAACAAATAAGGACTAGGATCCCTGCCCAGACTTATCCAGCAGTTGGGAGAGAAGGGAACGCTCACTTCCCAATTCTGGGTCTTCTGACACCACCACACCAACAGCAAGGACAAGCAGCAGAAAAGGTGCTGATACTGATCAGGCCACGGCCCTGAACTGCTCTGACTGAGCCAGCAGAGTAAGACAACATACTCTGTCGTATGCCTTTGTAGTGCTGTGGAGTGAACTGAAGACAGTCACACTACGATATCTCCAGTTCCTTTTTAAAATTTTTGTTTTGACATAAGGCCTTGCTAAGTTGCCCAGCTTGGGCTCCAGTCTTGAAATGCTTCGGCCTCAGACTGTCAGGGTGCTACGATAGTAGGAGTGCACCACCTTACTCAGCTGGACATTTTTCCCCCCTCTTAGACAGGATCTTGTTATGTTTCCCTGTCTAATCTTGAATTTTTGACCTCAGGCATTCCTCCTGTCTCAGCCTTCCAAATAGCTAGTACTACAGGCACGTGCCATTGCACTGGCCTTATTTGGTTGGTTTGGTATTAAAGAAAAAATATTGAACAAAGTAAGTCACTAAATTAATAGCATGGAAAAGTCATGAATCTGAGAGACACAATAAAAGCATTTGGTAAAATCAGTGCTCATCCATGATACAGATTTTTCCTTTATCCCTGAGTAGAATGGACCTGATGATATCCTGCCCATAACCTGCAGCAAACTTAGCCTGTCAGCACAACGCAGGCTGGACATCACATATCAGGTTTTGGTTCAGACCAGCATGCTCCTCACCTGAAGGAGAGACAAGAGCTATCTCTCCTCCAGTACCATGTCCCTCCTCTTCCCATACCTCAATTCCCACTCCAGAACTCACAGCCAAGGACTCCCATCAGTCTAATCTGCCCTTTATCTACCTCTCCAGGGTCCAGCTCCAATTCATGAGCTTGACAACACCCTCAGCCCACCAGCCCTGACCATCTCTCATGGCCCTGTTCTCTGACTGCCTGCTCTTCCCACCTACTGTTATTTCCATCAGGCAGAGTTCTGGCTCTGGGCTCTCTTGTGCTTCCTGCCTGTACTTGCACATAAGCTGGTGGACATGCTGCAAAATACGTGGCTGACAACTCTATGACCACAGGTCCCCAGTGTGCAAAGTACCCAGTTCTTGGGCCCCACTCTTTCCCTGCCACACCACATCTCTGCCCAACATGCACAGGCTGGCCTTGGAGCATCCCCACAATGCTGTAGTGCTTAGGTGTGGGTATTTGTATGATGCAAGGGCCCCTTCCATGGCTCCCAGCAACTATCACACTGCTAGCCCAAGACAACTAGTGGCTACGAACCAGACCAGCAGGCCGTTTGACATCATGTCATCCTTTTTTCTCCTATAAATGCTGTCCTGGGTCAGTGACAAAGAAGGAACCCGTGAGAGTAAAACAGTAGCCCTTGATGGAACCCACCCAGGGTCTTGTCCCAGGCTCCCTGCTATTTCTTCTCTATAAGAATTTCCTATCTATAATGCTTCCGAGAGGAGAGCTGCTTTCAAACCAGCACCCTGCTGCTGAGTACAGAGCCAAGGATCAGGAGAAAGAGTTCAGTGGAGCCCTGCACTTCAGTCTTCACAGGCAGGAGGTGGGTGCCAGGGAGAGGGTGGCCCACACCGGCTTTCTGAAACCTCCATGCAGTATCTGTACCTGCAAAGGGTTAAGATACCCAGCTCCTGCTCAGGGGTTTGGTTGTGCTAATCCAGCAGCTTGGTGGAAACAGCTACAATTCCATATCCATTGTAGCTGCTCTTAAAAATGGATGAGGGCATCAAGGCAGAGACAGACCATCAGCAGGACCAGGTTCCTGGGAGGCAAGAAGACACTAGAAGCCTGCTTGGGGACCTGGATAAACACCAGGCCCTGGGAAGATGCTGGGACAGTAGCAAGAGCCCTGTGACATGGACAGCAGGCTGGAGTGTGCCTCAATCCGGAGGCAATCCTTGTCTCTTGTTACAATGGACATGGTCATTCTAGGTGTGCAGAGAAGCTCTATTGCTACTATTTAAAGAGAAGTCTCCCTGGTGAGCTCGAGGAGAGGGAAGACAGGCTACTGCTCTGGTGCAGCTGGGATAGTGACTAAGTGCAATAAGTGGAGAGCATGGCAGGTTTGCTCCCAGCCCAGGGCTGACGGGGGTGGGGAAGCCTCATTATTACTTAAAGACCTAAAAATACTACTGGCTATAAATCAGTCCCTGCTTCAAGGCTGTGGGCCCTGTCCCAAGTGGATGAGGAAGGAACAGGGCCTGTGTACCACCTGTATCTGACGACAGCTGAGGCCCAAATCCGATGGCTAGCAGGAAAGCCACCTCAGTAAGGCAGGCAGGCAGCTCTGGTGTCACTAAGCGTCTCCAAGGTTCCCCCTGGGCACTGTCCTGAGCAGGTAGCCTTCTGGTCACTGCTATGGCCCCTTGCTGAGCCTTGGCCAGGACTGGGACCCTCCAGGAAAGATCTCTGGCCACCAGTGGCTCTTACAGCACATGACCTCAGGTGCCAGGAATGCACGGCATGGCCGCCATCTGGTTCTGATTACCCACGCTCTGCTGCAGGGAACCTCATCCACATCGCTGCTCCTAGTGCCTGCCTGGGAGAGACTGACTTGGGCTCAACAGAAGTTTCAACAAGAGGACACAAACAAGGTACATCTGTGCCTGTGTGGCTCTCAGGCCAAGGCAGACAGCCATACTGCAGTGTCGTGGCATGGGTGAGGATGCTTGTGGATACCAAGGACTCCAGGCTACCTCACCTGCTCCCAAGTGTTAAGGACTCTCACACAGCAAAGCAACTTGGATGCTTCTTCCCAGAGGCCTGAGATCTACCTCAAATTTCCAGAACCTCTGAGGATGTGACTGATGCCTTTGCCAGGTGGCACACAACTATAATCCTAGCACTCTCAGAGGTTGAGGCAAGAAGATCATAATTTAGAGCTCAGCTTGGGCAACTGAGTGACTTCAAAATAAAAAAAGGACTGGGGATGTAGCTCAGTACAAATGTCCTTGGATAAATTTCTAGGACCATATCAAGAGAAAGCAAGAGAAGAGAAACAGAAACAGAGAGAAGGAGGCCTTCATGCTCCCCCTAGGATTGTTCTCTATTCCCCCAGGAAACCCCCTGCCCAGTGCATGCTCAGTGGGGGTTGGGAGTGCCTCTCTTCTTCCTTTGATGTGTTTGGCTGAGCCAGGACCTACCCAGCAACCACCAACACCCCAACTACTTCCAGGCTAGAATCCCTGCCTTCCCTTCTGCTTTAACTTTCCAACTCATTTATTCCTGCTTTCCCCTTCTGCTTTAACTTTTCAATTCATTAGTAGAGTAAAAGTTCATCTTTGGACTGAAACATGCCCCATAAATTTAAGTCTTAAGTTCCAGCAGCTGTTCCCCAAACACTCCAGGAGAGGCCGAGCAGACATGAGCAGGATGGCTCTTTCCTGGGGCCTGGGGTGCAGAGAACTTAGGTGGGAGCTACACAACTCTTGGAGAAGCTGCCTGGCCCTCATCTCTTTGCAAAGTCAGGCCAATGACTGTTAACTCACAGTGGGACAAACGCAGGGGCCCAAGGAGCAGGAGGGAGGGGTGTGACGGAGAGACTCCCACTCACATCCATCAGGCGGGAAGTCAGAACCTGCAGATCCAGCACCCACAGGGACTCAGCCTCCAACTCTAAAAATGACCATCAGTATTATGGTTTATCTTTCCAAGGCCTCAGATACCCTTCCTTCCAGGTAGATGCACAAGAAGCTCTGCCTTTGATGCCAAGGTCTTCACTGACCTCTCCAGGACACTGAAGATGGACAGATGCATAGGCAGATGGGACAGGTTTACTGAGTTCACCATGCAGCACAGACTTGTCATGTGGGTGGTGCCCAGGAGGTGTAGATGCATGCCCTGCTTGCCTTGGATCCCACATTCCCATTCCTTCTCCTTACTGGGCTCAGCTGGGTGGGATCCTGCAGAGCTGTACTCTCCCATACCGTATGGAGTGAACCATGCAGGCTGGGTTCCCTGTGCTGAGCCCTGTGGTCAAAAATCCAGACATAGACACCAGGCCATCCTCAAGCCACACCAGCTGGGACAGCCCATAAGACATCCTGGGGAGATCTCCAGCAATCCTCACTGAACACCAAGGCCGCATGCCCCTGCCCATGGACTTTCTTGCTGGCAATGAGCTACAGCCTCCTAGGGCCAATTTGCAGATCACCATGGTTCTGTGAAACTTTCTACAGCTTCTTCTTCTTCTTCTTCTTTTTTTTTTTTTTTTGATTAATCAGTTCCTTACTGGCCAAATTCCTCTGGGTTTTCACAAAGGGGTTTGGGTCTGCCTGTACTCTACGTGCCTTTCTCTAGATGGACAAGACGTGACGGCTGTTAACCTGAGGTCTGGGAGAAACCCAAACCATGTGAAGGGCTGGCCCACATCCACGCCCCCTTCCTCCTGCAACAGCCTTGGACAGGCCCGCCTGCACCGCCTCCAAGTGATTAATTAGCCAGGGATCTGCGGCAGCTCCTCTTCATGCCTAAATATTGTTTCAGCCTATCAGACTGTTAGTGCAGAGTAGGATAAATGAGGCCCAGGGCCCAACACACTGACCTGTAGGGCCTGCTGGCCATCCAGGCTCCAGACAGTCAGAGCCTTCCCTGCAGAGCCAGAGACGCCTCGAGCCTTCTGAGAGTCGAAGTCAAAGCCCATGACGGGCTCCTCGTGGCAGGAGATACGGCTGCACACCTTCCGCTCCCAGACATCCCACAGGGCTATCGATCCGTCCTCATAGCCAGCCAGAAGGAAGGGGCGGGAACTGGACTCTGCCTGTGGGGAATAGCACAATGGTCAGCTCTCAGAAGGGCCTAGCTTCCAGTGAGTTTTAAGGACACAAGGCTCTGGAGAGAGGCAAAGGTGGTGCAGCACAGTCAGACAGCAATTTCCTATGCTTTCCATGGAGCCAACAGTCCTAAGACTCTGTGCCCCAATACATTCTATGTAGGCTTCCCTGGTGCCTGACACCACTGGCATAGGTCTGGCATGACCACTGACGTGTACCCAAGGGCCCCCAGGCCTCATGCGGCTACTTCTCATCAGCCCTAAGACCTGACACCTGCCAGCACTGGTTTATGCCTGAAAGGGGAGGCACTGGGCACCCACCAAGGCCTCAGGGGCTGTTAGGGACCCGTTATTCCTGCCTCCTCTCCTAGGCTGCAGACTTGAGGCCACTTTTGCTGAGGCTGGTCACCTGTCTAGAACCCCTGGTCAGGAAAATCACAAGCTCCATCTCTGTGAAAAATGAACTTTGTGTGCTCTGTCAACGTGGCTGCGGAAGCCCCCATCCCTGGAAGCCTGGTGCTTGTGGAACTCTAGCAGCTCTCGCTATCATGATGAATGAGGGTGAGGGTCAGAGGGCTCTGTGCCCTGGGCAGGCGCCTCGTTTATTTAGCCTCTGAAACAACTACAGAAGAGGAGTACTGCAGGATTCCAAGTCACTCTGGGGGACGTAGCCATCAGTCCTGGCACTAAGCAGAGGCCCAAGAGAAACCTCACATGGCTGAGCAAGCAAGCCTGATTTAGTCAGAGGCCCAGGGCATGTATTTAACCAATGGATGATATCTTCAACTGGCACGGGGTCCTCAGTGTCAGAGAGGTTGAGGCTGGGGGCTGTGTGATGAGAGCTGGGAAAACCATATCTGGATTGGAGGATGCCTGCCAGATGTGGGAAGGACACTGGGCTTGCACACGGGCACAGCAAACCTGTCAAGGAGGAGGCCATCACATGTCCCCAGAAATGGTATGATTATGTTCTGATAGTACTTCAAATTCACAGATACAAAACAGTAGAAGGAGGCTCTTGGAAGGAAGAATAAGGCTGCTATTCATCCTCTTGAGTGATTCCTCTCAGGCATCACCTGGAATTGTCCTCCTCTACTGCTGGAGCCCAAGCTGTGCCCTCTGACTGTGACCCTGAGATGCAGGACTGTCCTGGGTCCCCAAGTGTCCCCAGTGCCCCAAGATAGCCCTGCCTCTATCCTGCAGAAGGCCTGGCTGTGCAGCTGCACTGTTCCTATGCTTCTGTTACAGGGAAGAGCCCTCTGCTGATGTTTTACAGATCATTTGCTCAGAGAGAATTTGTTCAGGCTATGCCACACCCTTTCCATATGTGGATGGAGGGCACATTATACAGTCAGGCCATCCACATGACAGCACTCTGTGGGCAGGCACACCTCTCCAGATAGGTCACTCTGGGCAAGCAGGGTCAAAGCTTGGTATCCAAGGAAACGCCAAAGCCAGGTGGGAAAAATCTGGAACCCTCTGCAGCCTAAACAGGAACATATTAGCCTCTGCCACCAGGTATGGCCACCTGCTAGACCCTGCACTTAAGGATACAGGGTCACTCTTTAGGGCACTGTGCTCTGGTGGCACCCAGTCCCAATACTAGCAATTCTGGCTGAGGCTTCCTGTTGCCTTGCTTGTGGGACTCTTTCCTTCAGTGTTCTCTGAGCTGGTCTATAGGGACTCCTTTCATCACTGACATTGGTTCTGATCAGTCTCTGCATTATGCTGTGGCCTCTAAGTTCTAAGCATCATAGCTAATTCATGGTCTATGTATGACTATCTGTTTGCCATGGTTCTATGGTATAGATGGAGTCTTCAGCCTGTTCTAGAGGCGCTTGCTCTGTGGTTCCAGCCGCCTTGCTCTGCTGTACCTGGAGTCCCTACAGCCTCCCAGCAACAGATTCCACAGGTCAGACAGTGCTGGCACATGCTGCCCAACCTCTGTAGGCTGAGGACCTGAAGTCATCCCATCTGCTTTTTCTGGCTCCTCCCCTCTCCCTCAACTGAGACTTGGAAACAAAGACTTGCTCTGAAGCTCCTCCTGTCCCTTGGTATGCAGCATCTGGGATCCCCATGGGGAGCAGCCAACACTCTGCACCTTATTTTGGGTACATGACTGGGGGCTGCTCTGAGAGCTGGTGCCAGTGATGCTGCCTCAGGTCTGATTTACATCCTGGCCTTTTATGCAGTAATTATTCTAATAATACAGATTGGTTGTTTTGAGTTGGAAGATAAGAATAGACTAAATGTTACAGCAAAAACCCAAGTCTAGTCGCTTTGCCACTGTCAGATTAAGTTTATAACCTAGATCTACAGACTAGGGGAGAAAAAAGGAACATTTGAAGTTAATACAGGCTTTTCTTGAGGCTTCATGTTGCACCTATATTACCAACAAAACTGTGATTTGTCCTTCTGTCAACTATATTAATTACCTTAACAAGTTTGTACATCCCTTTCTACACATTTTTCTGCTGGAATTTTTACATGATTACACAACATCCCACATTTCCCAGGGAACAGAACAGGAGTGAGAGCAGTGGGGAGCTCCTGCCCCAGGACCTGACAGCACTATGGTCACCGCCTGGGGCACTTCTGCAGGGGCTGGCTGGGAGGTGTGTGTGTGGGATCTTCTCTCCCCAGGGACATACTCATGAGTCCTCAGAGAGTCCTGTCTGTCTAGACACATGGAGGACAGTGACCCAGGCTCTGCTGCAGTCCCTGAGATATGACCACAAATCTGCTGGCTCCAGAAGCTTTGTTATTTTAAGTTTAAGTCTCTACCATCTCAACCCCCCTGGGGCTTTTCTCTGAGGCTGAATGGCAGAGGCAGTGCCCAGGATCAGCTTATTGAGACCCTTTCAATTTGAACCTTCTCAATCAAGAAACTACAGAGGAGGAGCCAACTGGAAAGAAGGTCATCAGTCTTTCCTCTAACATTGACAAAGGAAAAGTAACTATGTGGATCTCTGGAAGGTTCTTCTTGGGCATGCAGACACCTCCTAACTTCATCTAATTCCTAAAGAGGCTTCCTGCTGACCAGAGCCCACCGAAGTACAGCTCTTAGCACTAAACAAAACCAGGAAGATGGTCCAGGGATCACCAACCACACCCGAGAGGGTCCTACTCGATGACTTACCCACCTTGGTTTCTGTACCTGAACAGGCTTAAGGCTAAGGCTTCTGGGATTCTTTGGAAACTAACACCCTAAACCATATGCTTTGCAGCCCGAGGCACAGATGACCCCAGGAGAAGAAACTTCACAGCTGAGCCAGCTGTGCTGGGAGCAGGCCTCACCTTGAGAAGGGCTGGGAGGATCCCTCCCAGATCCCAGCTGTGACTCCCACTTATACTCAGCTTTGGCTGCCAGCTCTGAAGTGCTCCTGACCTCCTCTAACATGAAACTATAATAGAAAAAGTAGGAAATGGCTTCAGGGAAAGTCACTGTGTTAAGCCCACTCTTACTTCTAAGAGGTAAAGTGGTAAGAAAAATTAATCCCAAGCATGGCAAAAGTGGTATGGGCTTGCCGAGATTAGTCAGCATTTTCTGTTCAGGCCTTGGCAGTTTGAGATCCAGGAAGACAGAAGAAGGGCACATGTCCCTCCCAAGTGGGCCATGCAGCTGATCTGCTTGCCCCTCCTCACTGCCACCAGCAGGAGGCATTCCAGAGGGAACAGCTGAGGATTTACAGGAGTCCTTTCAAAGCAGTAGCAGCTACCAGAGGAAGCAGTTTCAACCAAAGATACTGGGGCCACAGAAAGTGGCCTGCGCGTATTCTCTGAAGGGGGTCTTGCCTCACTGATCTGACGACAAATCAAACAATGAATGGGGCCTGACTCACAGCTGGCAGGCGTGGTTGCAGGGCGGGGCTGGCGTACGCTCACCTTACCTGCCACAGCCCCAGGCACATGGGCATGCCTGGCTTGGCATCTGCCTCCGGCTTCAGGGTGCACACTGACGTCTTGGATGGCATCTCCAGAATCTGAACCTGACAGTAAGAAAACAAGTTGATTTGGGCTGATGCCAAGTCAAGTTTGTGCTATACAAACAAGAGACTTTTAAGGCGATTAGCCAAGGTTGCAGCAAGTTTCTGTCTGCTCCTCTCCCTGTAAGACCTGGGAGCCGAGTCTCCTAATTAGGTTTTACAGCCTCATGGGCTTGGGCGCTGCAGGGCCATTGCACAACAAATACATGATTCCTGAGTGACCGGCCTGTCACAGACTGGTGACTGCCTTTGACTTCTCTTGATTTTACCATCAGAGAATAGTCCTGGCTTAGCCAGCCCTAATTTAGCCTGATCATTCTCCCTTCTCTGCTTACCTCCTTTCTCGATTTAGGTATTACTAGATACAAGAATCACTCTATGCATTCTATCAAATGCACAGGAGCACCTAAAACCCGCCATCAGCCTAAGAAATGAGCAAGATGCGGGCGCCAAGGGCAGCTCCATTTGGACCCTGGCTTTCCTGAATATCCAAGCTGCCTGGGTGCTAGGCCCTCCTGCATCTGGGCTGGAAGGTGTATCTAGTGGCCCAAATAGCCAACCCTCATAGGCCAGCCTATCAACTTGAGTGGGCTGCCCATCTACTCATCAGCCAAGCCAACTCTGCCCAGCACCATTCCTAGAAGATGGCCAAGGCTGTAAGGAGTAGACTTAGTCACTGAACACCACGGACAACTGGGCCTCTAGCTATCATATGTCCCTACATGCTTAGATTCCCTCAACCACCTAGTCAGCACGGGTACCCCCTCCTGCAAGCTCAGAGCAGCAGTGTGCTCACACATAACACTGGCCAGCTAAATGTTCCACTGCCTTGTGTTTGTGGTGTTGAGTAGTTCTACTGCCAGCTAGGCATGTCTGTGCCCTGTTACGACTCTGTAAACTGGGTAAGGGATGTTGGCCCAGAACTTCCCTGTCTATCAATAATGTGTCAAGAATATCAATGTGCAAAGCCAAACTTGAAAGAAAAGCTAGCCTGGGCATCCCCCTGGATTATCCATGAGGAGCCTGTGGTCCAGAGAGATTGGGATGTCAACTGGTTAGAACTCACGTTAGCTGGTCTGGCCTCTCAGATCAGGCTAGCAATAGTATATGAAGGGCCAGTATTTGGGCAGGTGAGAGCTACACTGATCTACATAGGAGAATGTGCCTGGGCCCCTGGTTCTGAGTTCTACATATGCCATATTCATGCTGGAGGGCTGTGTCCAGGCAACTTCCAGGCAGAGCAGAGACATAAACATGCAGCCTGGTCCTTCAGCTACAGAGTCCTATGGACATGCCCACTTCCAACAGATGGGCTAGGTTATGGTGTTCTCTGGGGATAGTGCTCTCACCAGGGTCCCCACAGTGGCTCAGCCCCTTTACCCCTGCTGTGCATCAGAGGACAGTTCACAGCTCGGTTGCACATGCTGCAAAAGTCTTGTACATATATAACACATACATGTACATAAGACATACAAAAGCATGGAGGTGTTCATGCACATGAACACACATGTATACATACACCTAATGCTGAGCTACATGGGGACTCTGATGAGAGCACTCTGCCAAGAGCCAGGAGAACTAAGGCGAGGTCAGAGCAACAAGAGACCCAGGAGAAGCCAGAGGTAGAGCTGAACCCCTCTCTGCTTTTTGCAGAACAATACAGACTTTATTAGCAGGTTTCTCCTTGTGGAATCAGTTATTGTCACTATGTGAGGAGCTATAGGTACAGAGCACAGCCTGCAGGGAATGGGCACCAGGGCAGTGTTGAGTTATGACCCAAATGCTGCAAGCAGAAGGACCTCTCAGTACACACACATTCCTGGGGTATCTGTGGAAAGACAGAAACCACAGGACACACAGTCTGCATAGGTTACAGTTTGTAACTGAGGGTTATCCTGACAGGAAGTCCCTTATGTGGCACTGCAGAGGGGCTTGTGGGGAAGGGGTCAGAAGGTGGGGGCAGGGCTTTGTATAGTAATCTCCTCTGGTTAGAAGAGGGGTGAGCCCTGAGGGCCTAAGTTGGGAAGTACAGGAGGGAATATAGGAACAGCAGTTCCTTGATGTGGCCTCTACATGCAGGAAAGTACAGAGCCCAGCTCCTGGCACCAAGCAGCAGGCACACAACCACCAGGCCCAGGCATCCCAATCCAGATTTCTGCTGTCAGAGAAGAAGCTTCTGGTCTTGCTGTAGTCAGAGCCTACAAACACTAGGCACTTCCCTCTGGCACACAACCCCAAGTTTTATTTCCAAAAGGAAAAAGTTGGGTTTGGGCAAGTGTGGCCACCCAGACGGCTGAGCAGGGCAGAAATATGCTCCCCAGGCATTGTCTGGGCATAGGCCAGCAATGCTTTTCCAGGGCGCAGTCCAGGCATATTCCAGGTGAGAATGTGGAAAACAACCATTTTCCCAGGACACGCAAGCTTCCCAGACTGGCTGCTCCTGAAAAATACCAATGCTGCCTGTACTAGGAGAACTAGGGGACAGGAAGCTGCTTAAAACCATGCAGGGCACATGGCCTCCAGCAAGGGAAGTACAGGCTAACCATGCACCAGCCAGTGGCCTGGGCCTGGCTGCGATGAGAGCACATGGAGGATGGCCAGCAGCACCACCCTTTGGAATGAACTCTCTCAAACCTCAGAATGGCATTTTGTGGGTCTGCAGCTGCAGAGAAGCTGGCACTGCCTGCTCCCGCCATCCAGGAAGAAGCATGCCCGTCCTTCTCACATTAATAAAACTTTTAACAGGTTTTTGGCAAATTGGCAAGAAAAGTGTATGTAGCTCCTAATTGGTGATTTAAATGTAATCATGAACAAATAAATGCCTGTTCCTATCTCATTATTTATGAACCGGCTCTGCTTGAAGACAAAAATGACTTCTTGAGTAGGGGCCAAGCCTAACTAAGTGCATAGGCTTGATCTGTCGGCACTGGTGAGAGCTTTCCTGCCTTGCACCACTGGCCACGAAAGACTATGAGCCTACAACAGACAGACAAGAGCCCCTTCCCAGCCTCCTGCCCCTGGAATAATGGTCCCACACACTTACCAAGCCTGACAGTCACCACTCTTCGGTCCTTTAACACTCTCCCCAGAAGCTGGACCTGTGGTCTTATCACCCCCACCCCTTTTAGGCTTTCCTCTACCCTGTCTTTCCATGTCCTACCTCTCCTTACATTTTGGGTACCCCTTCCTTGGTGGGCTCTGCTTCCTACAAAGGAAGGTGTGGATACCACTCTGCAACCTGACCAGTTGCATATCACTAATACCTCCTCCTGTCACTCTGACCTGAGTGCCACCAGTGACCTCCCTGCCTCCTTGAGTCCTCTCCTCTACACATTCCTCTACTCATCTGCTGTACTCGAGTTTACCAGGGCCTCAGTTTCTCAACTCCTGCCTCCTGCCAGTCACCCCAGTGTTCAACCCGCTTTGGTTTAAGTACTCAGGGGAATTCAGTGGTTACTCCTCCAACCATCCATGTGGCTTTAGGCCTGCATATTCAGCTACCCCTGGCTATTCTCCTCTATGAGTATTACTCCATTGGGTTCCAAGGCCTCCAAAGCAAGAGCCCCTCCTCTTGACTCCTTCTGATTCTCACCATTGTCCTGAAAGGATGACTCATCCTAGCTTACTTCACAGATAGCCAGGCCAAGGCAGAGCCAGGTGTGCAGCAGCCTAAAGCCACCAGAACTGCAGCCAGGCAGATGACCCCTATGCCTGCACACAGCAGCTTTCAGAGCCCTAGAGGCAGCCAGTTATGCCTCTTCACCAGGCATGCAGGACAAACACTTCTAATTAAGAGAAATCCAGCACCTAGTGCCTTCCAGAACAAAACATCATCAGGAGTGCTGGTCCTCACCTCATCAATGCCTTTCCCTGGCACTGCAAGCGTCCAGCGTGCCTGCCCCACAGCCAGAACAGAGCTCCTGCAGAAGCCCACACTTTCCAGGCATATGGAGTCCACAACGGCATTTCGGCCCTCTGCCAGGTCCCATAGGCACAGTCGCAGGTCCCGGCCCTGACTGTGAAAGCAAAAGGAAGAGGCTGTGAGACCCAATAAGCACATATGCACCATCCCAGACAAGTACTGAGCCCTCCTCTCAGCTCTTTAAGGTGAAGGTGGCCACATTTCTGGAGACAGCAGCTGTAGCAAGCATTACTGGACCATCCCAGGCTGGGAACCTTGGCTAGCAAGGGCCTTTTCACCTGGCACTTACACCTGAGTCTGCACCCAAGGTGCCCAATGCTAGGACTCACAGCACGCTGAAGACCTGGGTGCTTGGGCCCCTGACCAGCAGTGCATGGCCCTCCTGCTGTTCCCTATTCCACTGTTGCACCGCCCAGCCTCTCTCCCACCTTCCTTTCTTCTTTCTGTGAGTTAGGTTTAAAACTCCAGTAGTCTCACTCAGATCTTTTCTGAGGTGAATTTCAAACCTGTATTTATTTTAAAAACTCATACAAGAATGCTTACAACAGCTCTACCTATTATCACCCAAACAGGAGATAACCCTGCTATCTTCCAACAGGAGAACAGCCTGACCACACCATGGAATGCCACCAGCAAGAGAAAGAAGCCAACTGTTGGCCCATGCCACATTCTGGGGGAAGCTCAGAAAAGGTTGCTGAGTGCAAAAAAAAAAGACCTGAAAGGCTCCACTCTTGTGACATTCTAGAAAAGGCATGAAACAGGTAGAGAACCATGGAGAAAACTCCCCACGGTGGGCAGCTCTGACCCTGCAATGCAATAGCCTACTCTTGTAGTTGGGGGAAGCAGCTGCGGAACTCTGCATCTGCAAGACCCACAGAACTGCACACAGAAGGACCTTCATTGTACATGGCGAGCCTGAGAGTGACCAAACACTGACAAAGCAGATGACCCACTGCACTGTGAGGCAGGAAGGGAAGCTGATTTGAAGGGTCTGGGGAGTGTTTTGGCTGTCAGATGCTTTAAGGTCAAAGAGAAATGCAGAAATACAGTGGCCCAACTGCAAGTTGCTTGTTGTATCCAACCTGGTGGATATCTTGACCTATGTGGCTTGGAAGATAAGCAGTTTTCCCAAGAACTGTGTTGTCGGCAGAGGTTGCAACCTGGATTCAGCCCGGTTCCACTACCTGGTGGGGAAAAGGCTGGATGTGCACCCACTGAGCTGCCACAGCTGGATCCTTGGGGAGCACGGAGACTCCAGCGTCCCTGTGTGGAGTCACGTGAATGTTGCTGGTGTCACCCTGAAGAATCTGCACCCTGAGTTAGGAACTGATGGGGATAAGGAGCATTGGAAAGAGGTTCACAAAAAGGTGGTTGACAATGCTTATGAAGTGATCAAACTAAAAGGCTACACAGCCTGGGCCACTGGACTGTCAGTGGCAGATTTGGCAGAAAGTATAATGAAGAACCTTAGGAGGGTGCATCCAATTTCTACCATGATTAAAGGGCTCTATGGAAACAAGGATGATGTCTTCCTTAGTGTCCCTTGTGTCCTGCGACAGAATGGGATCTCTGATGTTGTGAAGGTGACTCTGACTCCTGAGGAAGAGGCATGTTTGAAGAAGAGCGTGGATACTCTGTGGTCGATCCAGAAGGAGCTGCAGTTTTAGAGTCTTCCAGTGTCACCATGTCACTGTCTAGGCTGCAGGAGGGTTTAGTTGCAGTTGTGCCAGTTGTCCTTTTCATCTGACATGTGATGGAAACAGCACTATTAGATGGCCTGGGAAAGCATCAGCTTCCAAAAGTTAGAAGTAGAAACAGTTCTCAGAACCCCACAGCTCTGTCCCGGTGCCGGATGCTGCTGCACTTGTAGTCCTGCTTAGTATGAAGTAGCCCAGCACCTCTGAGACCCCTCGCTGCGCAGGCTGTAGTTACTCTTCAGACAGATGTGTTACACAGCTTCACCCACCAAGCCTTGTCTGACCTTTCCCCAGCTGGTCACAGCCTGGGATCCAGTGCACAAATCCAATACTGCATGTCTTGTGCAAAACTGTCTTAAAGGGTTTTATTTTGTGTAATATATATATACATATAGTGTACATTGCCATATAACGTAAAAAGGTCTACTGGGCTGAACAGTGCAACCCAGTGTCATACCAACTACAATATGAAATAAACCTTGAACAGTGGGGAAAAAAAAGAAATACAGTGGCCCTAGTAGTGACTTGGTTTCTTTGTCTTTTCTTCTTCCTCTTCTTTATTTTATTTATTTATTTTGGTGGTATTAGAGATTAAACCCATGACTTTTGCACTGAGCTATATTCCCACTTTTCCCTTTCCCTTTTCCTTCCCCTCTTTCTTTTTTTTTCTTTCATTTTATTTATTTATTATTGTTTTTTAATGTATGTAGTACAGGGTCTACAGGGTCTCACTACTCAGATCAGACTCATAGTGATCTTCCTGTTTTCAGCCTCTCAAGTGCTGGGATTACAGGTGTGCACCACCACATCCAGTGTCAATCACCATCTCTATGTGTCCTGAGGACAGGGCCAGCATGGCATACAAGGGGATGGAGCCCAGTCCCTATGCCTGCCTAAGCAGGTACTTTAGTCCAGTGAGCTATTGGCCGGCCAGCTTGCTTTTTTTTTTTTTTTTTCCTTCCTTCCTTCCTTCCTTCCTTCCTTCCTTCCTTCCTTCCTTCTAAGTTACCCAGGCTGGGCTCAAACCTGTGATCCTCCTGCTTCCACCTCCCAGAATGCAGGGATGACAGGCATGTGCCACCACCACTGGTTTAGTTTCTCATGGAAAGAGAGGCAACCAGGTTTCTCAAGAAATAGTGATGCAAGGGTTGGGGTGAGGGAAGAAACCAAGGTGAGTTTTAAGCATCTTTCAAGGAGTACCAGAAAAAATTTAAAAAAAAAAAAAAAAGTAGTACCAGAAAAAAATAGAAGTACTTAAAAAATAAAGTAGAAGATAGTGGCACATCAAAAACACATAGGCCTGGGGCTGGGGATTTAGCTTAGTGGTAGAAAGCTTGTGTAGCAAGCTAGAAGCCCTGGGTTTAGTCCTCGGCACCAAAACAAAACAAAACAAAAAACCTCACTTAAAAAGACACAGGCCTCAAAGTTGAAAATATCTGAGTGATAAATGCAGGTGGTATCAAGATTTTAATCCAAAGAATTAAATAAGTCCCACAAGCCCATTTTCATGAGTAAACATATACCTGCATGGGGAAGAGGAGAAAAGCTTTCCTCACAGGTGTTTTCTCACAAGTGTAAATTGAAGTGAAATTCTAACAAAAGGGAAATATAGGGAAATGAGAGAAACTGAGAGTGCCCCCCAAAGGAAAGCTCCCATGAGACCATCCTAGTAGTAACCTGCAGCCAGAACCCACTGGTAAATGCTAACTCTGAGGAGAAATATGGTATTTATGCAGGCACAAATTGTCTCCCTCTCCAGATATCCTTAGTTAATAGTGCTGGATCCAACACTGCCCACATGTTCACAGACCTCTTGCCTTCAAGAGATGAAACTTAATTCTCCTCCTGAGTGTGGGCAGCACCAGCTGCTCAAGAATCCAGGAAGCAATACAGGTTCCGGATCCCTTGTTCAAAATGCCTGGGTCCAGAAGTATTTTGGATTTCAGAGTTTTTCAGATTTTAAAACAGTTGCATAGACTTTACCAGTTGAGCATTCCTACTCTAGAAACAGGAAATCTGAAATGCTCCAAAATTCTCAACTTTTTGAGAGCTGATGTAACACTAAAAAGCTTCAGATTTTCACATTAGGTATGCTCAACCCATTGGATCTCCAACCTCCCACAACCTGTTGGATCTTGACAGTGAGCCCCAGCAGATACCTCCTGACTCAAATAATCAGGTCAACTTCAACTTCAATGAGCCATGGGGATACCACATATTCCTGGTAACCTGGGATAAAGACATTCACTTTGGTGGGCTTCCTCCCCAAACCCATAACCCTCTTTCAAGCCTAAGAACAACAAACAAACCCAACTGGAGGGGCATTCTACAAAACATCTAAGCAACACTCTTTAAAAATGCTGAGGTCGCAAAAGTCAAGAATGGAGAAATGATCTCAGAATAGAGGAGAATAAGGAGCTAGACACTCAGTAAACCCTAAAACAGAGGAGATGTTGGTAGGAAACTAAAGAATTTTCACAAAACTGCTACAATCATGCACAAACATTGTACAGGTAGCCATGTCATATGAAGGCCCACGCCTTAGAGAACCTGGCTCATGGACGGCACTCTTTCTGGGGCTGGCCCAGAGCAACTCTGCATCAGTATCTACTTGGTTTCTACAGAATTTGTCAAGCTGATATTTATACATGCTGGATATTTTAAGGGCTCAGATTCATATGCACCGCATGGGGCACTGATGGACAGTAGTGCCCAGGGTAGAATCCTGGCAACAAGGACCACAGGACGGTGTCCTTGGCATAGAGAGGACCAGAGCCCAGGTAGGGAAGGCAGCCAAGCATCATGCTCATGCCTAGGGGCACTGACATGCACTGGGCAGGGAGTAAATACCAGCTTGTTCTCAAGGACACTTGCCTCTCTGTACTCATGGGCTCTGAATGTAAAATCAACTGATGACTGGAAATATATAGGGGAAAGACATTGCATCAGTACTAACCATATACAGCCTTTTTTTGGGTCATTCTTCCCAAAGAACACATTATAATTACTTATATAGCATTCACACTGTATTAGGTATTATTAGCAATCTAGAGATGATTTACATATGTTCTATGCAAATATTATACCACTTTATAAAGTGGACTTGAATGTCCATGGGTTCTGCTATTTTTAGTGGGTCTTGGACTTCCATGGGTACCAAGAGATGACTGCAACTAGTTAGGCCTAGTGACATACACCAGTAATCTCAGCACTCAGGAAGCTGAGGCAGGAGGATTGCTGTGAGTTTGAGACCAGCCTGGGCTACACAGTGAGTTCAATGTCAACCTAAACTACACAGCAAGACCCTATCTCAAAAAGCCAAACAAACCAAAATGATGAAAAAGAGACAACTGTAGCTTTCTATTTTGTACCCACAAGACAGTCATGAGGGTAGCATGGAAATGTCCACGAGACCTCCTGCCTAGTGACTTACTTGTCCCCACACTGCCTCTCAGCTCTTTCTGGGTCCCATATACTTATACTTGTGCCCATTCTTACTTGTGTCCCCCCCTCATCACTGATTCGCCTAACCTCAACAACACACAGCCTCTCAGTGTGCCTTGCTAAGGCCTGCTGGTCCTATGTGGCATGCACACTGCACTTGCTGTTATCTTCATAGGCCCCCAGCAGCCCATCCCACTCAATCCTCTTTCTACCTTTCATGTCTCCAGTATGCCCTTGTTCCTGAGGAGACACTGCCTGGCCATGTCCTGGAGGGATGCTATGAAGATGGTGCTGTACCCTCCTTGGTCACCAGAACAGGGGGCACATGATGCATCTTGCCACTGGTCAAGATGGTTCCTGCTGGGCTTGTCCACTACAAAGCATGTTTGCCCTTGTCTGACAAGGATTCTGTGGCAGGACATATTCTGATGTTATGACAATAACCTAATCCTCAAATGACCCTAGCTAGCTGGGGCACTCCTGGATGCCATCCTATGTCACCCTTTCTCTTTTCACATGTTCAATTCTCTTCTCCACACAAAAACCAAGAAGTATTTAAGACAGAGTTTACCCAAGGGACTGACAAACACAAGAAAAGGGCCCATCAGTGTTAGAAAAAAACTCAAAGCACATTCAAAAGGGCCCATGTTAAAAAAAAAAAAAAAAAAAAAGGCCCATGTACAGGGGTAAAGTAGAGGAGGGGCACACCTGCTTTAGGAGGTGCACAGGGATGTCTGCCGATAAGTCCAGTATGCACATGCACTGTGGCCCAAACACCCCAGCTCTGGATTGGGAGGCCCAACCCGCATGTAGGTATTGATGTGTGCTCCAAGCAAAAGAGGACTCAGATGAGTCCTCCTGATGACTTTATTCATAAGAGCTCCAAGTAGGCACCCGAACACCAAGAGGGAAGATCACTTAGTGAATAGCACACGGGAAACAACTAGCTGTAGCTACACATACCACACACAGGCCTTGCAGAGAATAGGATGAGACAAAAATTAGAAGCAAAAGGCATTCTTTCATGTAGCTCCATTTTTCTCAAAGAAAGAAACAGATAAAACTAGCTTATACTTTTTTGAGACAAATATTAAGAAGAAAAACACAAACAAGGTACAGAATTATCATCTACATCAATGGAGGGCAGGTAGCCCTTGTAGAGTGGCAGGTGGAGCTGGGCGGCTTGGGGGTGGGTGGGACTGCTGCCCTTCTTGACCAGGAGATGGTTACTCAGGTGCTGCCTCTGTCATAACGCAACTGCCTCTATACTCCTTCTTGCACTTTTCTGTAAGTGCCAGTACTTTTCACAGTGAAAAAGGTAAAAGAAACGTCCTGTCAAAGAGGCTGTTATGGCACAGGTGGGGGTGGAGCTGGGGTCCTCCATCCTTCCCTAGATTTGAAAGTACATGGCCTTCTTCAAGGGCCACTTAGAGAGATGTGGCTTTCAAACACAGCCGAGCCCCAGCCAACGAGAGGTAGCCTTGCAGGGGTACAGTCTCTAGTGCAATGTAAATGCACCTGGGCATTCCACACGTGCAGTTTCCACCTGCGGCCTCCTGACCCACAGCCAAGCCTGCTGGAGAGGGCCTCTGTGCCCCATACTGGCTGGGACAGGAGGAATCGCAAAAAGCCTGCCCCAGGCTGCCATCTGAGTGTGCCTCCCACACCAGGGCTGGCATTGTGCAACCCAGAGGACTGCTGAAGGCCACCCAGATGTCTGGGCCTTGGAGGAACAGAAAGCCCTTAGAGGCCTCCCTGAAAACCTGAGGAACACTGACAAATGGCAATCCCAGTGCAACTGATTTAGTGGGGTATTTAGAAATGATCTCTACTCTGACAATCAAGGAAACACCAAAACCATACAGAGGCATTTTAGCTGAGGAGGAGGCAAAATTAGGTGAAAGCTTCAAAAACATTCAGGGGCAGCAGCACTGTACTGTCCTCCTGGACAACTCTGGTCCTTCACTCCTCTGACAGCCATCTTCTGGATGGTAACAAACATCAGTCTAGCACAAAAGTTCTCTACAGACCATGTGGGGCCAGATAATCCTGTCCTCCAGGGACAAGACTGCATAGTACCCAAATGTCCAGAGCAGTAAGATAGGCCTGTCACAGGAATTCCCTGAGCATGACGGGTACCAAGTCCTGGGAGGGAAGCACCAGGAATCTGCAGGAAAAAAGGCTGCTCAGAGAAGCAGCACTTTGACTTGGTTTCCGGGCTAGCAATAGCAGTCCCCAAGCAGGATAAATGTCCTGTGAGTGAGGACAATGGCCTGCTCTGGCAGTCAGGTGACCCTGGAAGACTTCTTATTGGCTCCCTATACCTCCTCTCCATCCCTGCCATGCTCTGTCCTTCCCACTTCCCATGGAAAGCAGGGAAGCCTCTCACTCATTTGCCCATTCTGGCTGCTTCCTGGCCCATCTGATGTCCCTAGGCCTGTCATCTGAAGAAGAGTACAGTGACAGTGGCAGAACAAAGCCCCAGAAAATAACAAAGGATGTACCTGCCTAGAAGCTGCCCAGCCTTGTGTCCCTAATGGCCCCTCATGACACTCCCAGGCTAGGTTCTCCATGGTCTCACTATGTAATCTCAGTAGGAGAAACAACCTGCTGCCCCAATAGAAGCACAGGCTGTGGGTAGTGCCATCCTTGTACCTTTTAGCAGTTTCTTCGCAGCAGTTAGCGGGCAGGTGACCAGCAGCCAGCACCTGAACACAATGCCTTGAGAAAGGCCATAAGCAGCAGAAGCGAACTCTTAAGATAAAGAGAGCACTTTGAAGGATATAGGCGATTCCTCTGTGGTCCTTTCTAGCTTGAAGGCAGTCTAGACAAGATGCAGAAGTGATCTATAGAGTGTAGAAAACACACACACACAAATACACACACAGAGTCTCTTAGACATGGGCCCAGAGCCTTAGAGAAAACAACCTGGATGGGCAGAAACAGCAGATGCTGCAGGGGCCACAGGAAGGAGTTGGCCCCATTGCTGCACCCACTCAGAAGCTAAAGCAAATCACCGTGAGTCAAGTGGGCTGTTACAATCTGGAAAGGGACACATTGCCAGGCTCCAGCTCTAACCTGTTAGGTCCACTTGGTTCCTCCCCAGGCTCTCGGTATCTGAGCTATAGTTCATTCCACTTTCTCAGTCCATGGTGCTGTCATTTTTGCCCATCTCAAAGCCAAACCAGGTACCCTTCATGAAGCCTGACCCTCTCTGCCATGTTATACCTGCACTAGAAGATGCCTCAAAAACTGACTTTACACATGTGAAAGATTAAAATTGGACCCCTGTCTTTCACCATGCACTAAACTAAAATTGACATGGTTAAAATATCTAAATACTAAAACTGAAACACTAAGTTGGTTAGAAGACAGAATAGGTAGAACTCTTGAAGTTGGTATAGGCAAAAACTTATGAACAAAACCCCAACTGCACAGGCACTATTACAAAGAATCAACAACTGGGAGTTCATCTTATTAAAAAGCTTTTGCACAGCAAAATAAACTAACAAAGTGAAGAGACACCCCAAGGTGTTGGAAAAAAGTTTGTCAGCTGTTCCTCAGGCAAAGGATTACTATAAAAAAAAAAGAAAAAAAAAAAAAAAAAAAAAAAAAAAAAAAAAACCCAGAACCTCCTAAATTTAATTTAATTAATTAATTTATTTATTTATTTATTTTTTGGCAGAACCGGAGGTTGAACTCAGGTCCTTGCGCTTGCCAGGCTAGAGCTTATTCTACTGAGCCATCTCCCAGATCCCTCCTCCTAAATTTAAAGAACCAATTCAAAAATGGGCATGAGACAAATACTTCTAAGATGAAGTACAAATAGCAAATAAATATATGAAAAATGTTCAACATCACTGATCATTTGAGAAATACAAATTAAAACAATTCTGAGATTCCATCTCATCCCAGAAAAAATGGCTATTACCAAGAAATCACCAACAACAAATATTGGCAGGGCTGTGGAGAAAAAAATCTTTCTCCATTGTTGGTGGCAGTGCAGACTGGTATAACCACTGTGGAAATCAGTGTGGTGACTCCTCAAAAAACTAAGACACAGGTCTCATTTGACACAGCTATTACCCTTCTGGGGGCTACCTTCCTGAAATAATTTAAAGTATCATACTACAGCAATACATGCACAAGCATGTTTATAGTGGCACCCACGTAATAGCCAAATCTCGGAAACAGCCCAAATGCCTATGCTGGTAAATGCATAAAGATGTGTTTTTTAGTGTACAATGGAGTAGCACTCTGCCACAAATAAAGATAAGCTCGAGCCATTCTTAGGTAAACAGATACACCCTGTGATCGGTCTTAAAGTGAAGTAAATAGGACACATATAAGGACCAAAATGCATAATAGATATTGAAAAATAAAATGTTCAAATGGGGAGAGGAACAAGGAAGGGGGAGAGGAAAGGAAAGAAGGGAAAAGTAAAAAAGAAAGTGAGAAAAGAAAAAAAAATGGAAACAAACCCTTTGTAAATGAAGAAGAGAAGAGAGGTTGAAGGGAGGGGAGGAAAATGGGAAAGAATCAAATTACATCAGGTACAACTTCTATATGATGAATATGATCATTATGTACATCTAAAATGTACCAATAAAATTTGATTTAAGAAAAAGCCACCTCAGATGTCACCAGCCCCAGCAATCCAGCCTGCTGAGATGCCCCTTTGCTTTCCTTTTTCCTTTCCTTTTCTTCCTACCTACCTTCCTTCTTTCCCTCCCTCCTTCCTTCCTTATCTCTTCCCATCCCTCCCCTCCCCTCCTTCTTCAATCGATCCTTGAAGTTTCCCATTTTCCCTGGCAACCAGGTAGAGCTACAAGGGCATGTGCTAGGGTGCTCCTGATTCCCACTGGAGGCTTCAAAGTTGCTGTTTAGAACTTCACTCTGCTGCCATGACATACCTGAGGAGCTGAGGGCTCTGGGGCAGCATCTGCAGCCAAGTTACACTCTGGCCCCTATGGCCATCCAAGGTGGCAACTGCTCTCCGGGTCTGCAGGCTCCATATATGAACAAGACCATTCTGAGATCTGTTGAGAGGAGCCCAGCACAGGTCAGGAGCAGGCAACAGAGTCAGGTAGAAACTTTGAGCTTGCTCTGGGGCCTACTTGGATACTATATACCTGGTAGATGTGGGTATTTTGACCACTGGGGGTTTTAGGTTAATAGCCAACAGCTCTAACTACAAATCAAGGATAAAACTGCTTCCAGAGAAGGTGAGTGGGAAGGCCCTTAGAGGTCTGGTTGGGGAACTCAGGAAGCAAGTGCTGCTCCAGAAGGGAAAGAGATCCCTGCCACTTGAATGTAGGCTACATAGTCTCCAACAAAGGGGCACATATCCCTGCTTCTCCAAGGGAGTCAGTCCTGAAAGGACAGCAAGCACGAGAGCTTGAAGCCCTATGCTAGCACCCCAAATGAGTTGTGGCTCTGTGGTGCCCGCAGCCTCATGACTTCATTCTCATGCTCAGGCTGAGGCAACTGCTACTCACCCTGAGAAGAGGAGTGGGCACCCATGGACCTCAGCTCCACCACAGAAATGCAATGCATTTACTGCTGACTGTGTGCCTCGTAGAACAAACTGCGGGTCTGGCGGTGGTGGGGACAGGGGAACAGCCATGCTAGGCAGGGTGCAGTCACCTGGGAACCAAGGAAGGACACATGAGTGACAGAGCCCTCTGTTCTCCAGGAAGGCAGCATAGGCAGGAGCATCTGGATGCTAACCCAATCAGTGCCCCTGGTCTTCTGTTTCTCCCAGAGGAAGAGAGACTTCTTGTTCTGCAAAAGTGCTGAATGGTCCTGTAGCTGAGAATGGCTAAGAACCAGCATTCTGCACAGGCTACTGGGCCCATCCTGGTCAACGACGGTGCTTACCTTTTCCCTAATTACTGGCCATTTTGACCTTCAGTTGTTGTGTTTTTTGTTTTGTTTTGTGCATTTTGTACAGGGTCTCACTGTGCAGCTCAAACTCTTCAGCCTCCCCAGCACTAGTATTACAGGCATGCACCACCACGCCTGGACTCGGTCACTAGCTCAGGGTGGCATGCAGGACCGGAGATCGAACTCCAGTCCATGCGTTTGCCAAAGCAGCTTAGTCCACTGCGCTATCTCACCAGCCCTAGTGATCATTTCTGGTCAGTGCTTCTGATGGGAATCTGTGAACCACCTCTATATCTCCTATTCTGCCTATAGGCTTTTGCACCAAATTGGTATTACCAAGATCCCAACCTCTACCTTCCTTGGGCAGGCAGAGTGGCATCCACACCTACCCTTAGCCACTTTGGCTCTGGGTTCTCTGCACAAAGCCACATGCTTGCTTCAGGGCTTCTTGATCAGTGCTGGTGACAAAGAGCTTTTGCATGAGATTATGAGTGTAGCTCAATGCTTGCCTAGCATTGAGTTCCATCTCTAGCACCCACCCCCCCAAAAAAAAGATCCTTTGTTTCATCAAGATCTGAAGTTTCTCCTAGGCCCATCTATGTACTTCTTTGTAAAATTTAGTTTAATAAAAACTCTGCTGACAATAGCTGGCTGGGTGGGTGATGTCTTTGGTCAACTGGTCCTGCCTTTAGCCAGAATCCTGTTAGGTTAGTAGAGAGAGAATCCCCCTTACTCTTGATGTCTCCTGTACATTGACACCCATAAATTTCCACTTGACTAAATTTCCAGAGGGCTGGCCAAATAGCTCAGTGGATTAAAGCGCCCACAAACAGGTGCAGAGGCAGGGGGTTTGATCTCTGGACCTGCTGTGCAGGCCCTGCCCCTGGGGCGTGCTGAGGTGGCAATTGAGACTGGGCGTGGTGGCGTGCACCTGTAATCCCAGTGCTTGGGAGGCTGTAAACAGGAGGATCACTATGAGTCTGATCTAGTAGTGAGACCCTGAACACCCTGAAGATCCTTCCCTAAAATATTTGAGGCCGGGGAGATGGCTCAGTAGAATAAGTGGTTACCTGGCAAGCGCAAGGGCCTGAGTTCAATCCCCAGTTCCGCCAAAGTAAATAAACAGATAAATAAATAATTAAATAAATTTCCACTTATCCACTTTTTCATGCTGTATTCAGAGTTCAGTCTAATCTACCTGTTTTCACACTGTATTCAGAGTTCAGTCTAATCTACCTACTCAGTTTTAAAGCCTCATTGTCACAGTCTCAGGACCACTACAATGGCCTGAGTAATGTTTTCCTTACGGTGCTATGAGTGTTTCTCTATCGTTTTTTCCTTATACTAGCGCCTCACCACCTCCCCAGTCCTACTGTCCACACCACTTTTTCTCTGCTCCAGTCCCCACATACTGCAGTGCTTGTCCTGCTTCCAGGCTGGGCTGAGCCCTACCCTGTCTAGGCCTTGTTCCACTGCCTTGCTCAGAAGCCCCCCCACCCTTTTACTCTACTGGCAAATCCAACTTCCTTCCTCCCTTGAGTCACATGCCCTCTTCTCCCCTCCTTGCAGTGTGGTAACAAAGTGGCAGGACTTGGGTTCCATGGCCAGCTGGGGGACAGGAAGACAGGGGCCATGCTGAACTGTTCCCAGAGAAAATGCTGGATGCTAGGAACTGTGTAGGACTCCGGGAGTGTAGGACTACAGGGGAAGTAAAGGAGAGGGGCCCCCCTCCCCACTTCTGCTATACACACCCCCTAGCGTTAGGTCTTAGGCCTGCACTGACTGGCACAATTTCTAATTATTACAACTACCCTGTGAAGAGGCAGCACCCCCTGACATTGGAGAAAAGGAGGCATGAAATGGTAGGGTGAGCTATCCTAGGTCCCAGGCTTATGTCTGAAATGCTCTAGCGCCTGTGTGTTCCACCAAGGTGCAAACAGCCAGTACTGTGGACTGTGGGCAGTGCCATACTAGTCTCCTGGCTGCTCCTCATAGGACTCCTGTCACAGGGGGACTTGCTAGGGTCCCTTCAAATGGAGAAGCTTCCAGTGACCGCTCTGAACCCACCTCACCATTCAACTCTGCAGAGCCCCTTCTGCCATCTTGGTCTCAAAGATGGCTGTTCTGAAAAACAGGGTGTCCTCAGAGCTGTAAGTGACCTGCCCCAGTGGCTAAAGGTACATTTGTCTGCCAGCTAGCATATACTAAGTTGAAATTACAGAGGAAAAGCCAAGAAATAGACAGCTGGGGACTGCTGCAGCCTGTCCCAAGATCTCCACCACTGGGCTATGGGACAGCTGCCAACCTACTCACTTGCAGCACACATGCAGCATGGTGGGGATAGGCCTGTCTAACTGGGTGACAGCTATAGCCACCAGAAGGACCACAGCAAGTAAAAGAATAGGATCAAAGAAGATAGGAAGCATTCATCTAGAAGAGAATGTTGGCCTGGAGGCTGCTAGGGGATGTGGGAACCACAGGCCAAGGCTACATGCAGTATATGAGTAGATGTGGAGGCAGGATAGGTAGAGTTCTCTAGTGTGTAGCCCATCCCAGCTTGGGCATACCCTTTGGTCATTCTAAATAACACAAAGTTGCCCAAGCCGGGTCCCTGGGGACCTGAGAGCCTATGCATGATGGACTGTGCCAACAAGGTCTGCACCATGCCACTGAGGTAAGATTAGGGTCGGGCCCTTGATCCTAATGATCTGGTGCAGATGCTAACAGGGACAGGCCTGAGAAGGGGCTTGGCTCTGACATTAGGGCAAGAGTTGACCTTTCCTGGTGACTCAGGCAAGCAGACCATCAATGGACCCTGCCCCTATCAACGACTTTCAAAGAGAATGAGGAAGTCACTATGAGTGCACTTTACAGAGTGCCAAATCCTTTTTTTTTTTTCTTTTTATGGGGTTGGGAAGGAGGGAATTAGCCAAATAAGTCCTCTGGCCTTTGGCTAAAAGCTGCCAAACTCTCCCCAAATATAAGGGTAGCTTCCTTCACAAGGAGAAAGACCCATCCCCTACTGTTCCTGGGATGCATATCCCTACTGTGGTCCACTGAAAGGACTGCCTCAAGGCAGGCTGACCAGCAGGCAAGTACAAAGGGGCAGTTCTTGGGTCCTCAAGAGCCACTAGCTGCCTATACAGGCTATGCCTGCCAAATACAAGTTCCAGGCTCTAGCTCTACAAGGAGACAAGCCAAAGCACCTTAACCTAACCCAGCAGGAAAGCACTAAAGTACAGGGCAGAGGCTCCTCTCACCACATGGGTCCAGACAGCAGAATCCAATTAATCATCTCTGCACAAGCTCGCATGTGCAATACAGATCCAGGTACACATGCACAAACACAAGCACATATTCACATTCACACATGTATGCAAGTATATGCTCATGCTTATGTGCATATATACACATGACACATTCCTGTATGCATACCCCCATAGAGGCACACACACACACATGCATATAGAAATGCAGGCACACACCCATACAAATATATATACATGTGCTCATACTGACATACTCCTGTGGAAACACACACATGCACAGATTTTACACTTATGCATGTCCATACACACAGGCATGCACATACACACATGCATGCATAAAAACATACTCAAAGGTAGCATGGTAGCCTCTGGTACTGCCCGTGAAGCCTGGCCCACACTTGCCACCTGCCTGTGGCCTGGCAGGAGTTTCCAGAACCTCACAGCAGAAGGATCATTGTAAGGTGATGAAATCAAGTTCTCCTCTATTGTTTCCCCAGAACCGTGGGGGAACAAACCCGTCACGTTGTTACAACAGCCGAAAAACTCAGGCCAGAATGATGCATCGGCAATTAAGGGCTCCATCATTTCAAGCAATTAAAATAAATGCTTTATTTGAAAACTAATTAATTCTACCTACATATTTTTCCCATGACAATATCCTATGATTATTTGATTTATGACATCTAATTATTCTTTATTAATCTAATTGAGAATAATCACGTTATCCTATCTCCTCTGGCACCAACTGCCTAGGGTGGAGGCTGCAGCCCCTTTGCAGCACTAGCTGTATCATTGTGTAGCGCCCTGCTGTACTCCTGTTTTTTCGTCTCAGAGAGCAAAGGAACAGGAAACATAATCTAGAACACAACTTCAGTTTTGCTTGTTCTTTGAGATGTCAAAGCAAGACAGATTTTTTTCAAAAATTAAAAGAAAGTTTGATACAATTTGCATTAATTCTGGCAGCCTTTCCTATGAGGGTCTACAAACTCCTGGAACTGACGGCCCTTGTTCCCAGCAACAGAAATGGATAGCTACAACAGAAGCAGCCTAGCAGGCCTCGGGATGCTTTCCACAGAGAGGGGCCCTGGGCTCTCCAGGTACACAGATAATGCATAGCTGGTGCCAGTTTACATCCCACCTTTACACTTTAGCAGGTACAGTAGCCATGGTGATGGAACCATGACCCTCAGAAGGGAGGCCAAGAAGATATGCCTATGCCCAGCATGCTGGCACAAATACCATAGCCCATAGAGGCTGTGTTAGCTCAGACAGAATCCACATGCAATTCAATTCAAGGCAGGTGAGACAGGGTCAGGAGAATGGCTATACCCAAAGACAACAAGTCCCTTCCCAAGATCATTTCTGGGGTTTCCACCCATGTGTACCCCATAACCTGACCTATGGGCTACATACAGGTCAGCCCCAGGCACTTATCATGCCCTTGGAGCTCCGCGGCCCTGTGCTCACCTCTGAGCCTTCTCTTTTCATCAA